TGTGGCTTAAGGGTAGAGTGCTCGCTTTGAGCTGAAGAGCTGAGGGACAGTGCCCAGGCCCAGAGTTCAGGCCCCACGACCGGACCTCCCCCCCCCCAAAAAAAAGTTTGAACTCAGGGCCTGGGTGCTGTCCTTGAGCTCTTTTGCTCAAGGCTAGTGCTCTACTACGTTGAGCCACAGCTGTACTTCCAGTTTTCATGTGGTTTGGCTTTGAACTGTAACCATCTGATCTCAGCCTCCTGAGTAACTAGGAGTACAGGCTTGAGCCACCAGCACCCAGCCAGTCAGCATATTTTGAACATAAGCAATGAATGTATTAAAGATCACTAGAAAGAAAAGTCATTAAAGAGCAACAAGGGAAGGAGAAGGGCAGACATTTAATTTAATAGTATTTGGAACAGTGCTAGCTACACCCACCTCATTCTACAGTAGCTCTTGTAAGATCTATGGCTATTTAATAATATTTCCAAAAGAATAGAACAACAAATAAATGGAGCTTCTGCTATCATTCTCTGTCATCTCCAGAGCAAACCTTTATGCTATTGTATATGTATATTAAATTAGTTTAGAATATAATTAGTATATATAATTTAGCATACATATTAGTATATAATGTATAATACATATATACACTAAATTAGTTTAGAATATAGCCAAATTTAGTTTACTTGGACAAAACTAAGATGGGTAGTAATACTTTTGGCTTGGTTTGAGCCAAAGTTACAGAGGGTGGGGAAATATTATGGATAGGCATTAACAAATGTTATTTGTGGGCTTTAATTTTTCTTTCTGGAACATTAGTAAAATTGAAAATTAGAAACCTCTATCTGGGCACTATATATATATATGTATATATATATCTTATATCTAAACTATATATAAACTAAATTTCAGTGCTCTCATAGATAGAAAGAGTGAATGAGAGTATTTTTCTTCACCCAGAGGTATCCCTTCAGATATTTGCAGGTAGAATGAAAATAACCCAGATCTCAGATCCATAATATGAAGTATACATTTTTACTGCCCAGGAAAGACACAAACTCTTTCCTTGGGTTGGGAAAAGGCAGTTAGAAAATCTGTGTATAGGGCTGGGAAGTTGCTCAGTGGTAGAGTGCTTGCCTTGCATGCATGAGGCCGTGGGTTCAATTCCTCAGCACCACATAAGCAAAAAAGAAAAAAGCTGGAAGTGGTGCTGTGGCTCAAGTGGTAGAGCGCTAGCCTTGAGCTGAAGAGCTGAGGGACAGCGCCCAGGCCCAGAGTTCAGGTCCCACGACTGGACTCCCCCCTTAAAAAAAAGAAAATCTGTGTATAGAGGCAAATACTAAATAAGTCCCTAGGTATATGAATATACAATCAGACTTTTAAATCGCTCACTTTTTCCTCTGAAGACCTAAGTGGAGAAACCACCTGTCTATCAGCCATACATGGTTAATCAAGTTGACTATTTTCAAGTTGATTTTTCCTGTGGTTGGTTAGACTCAGTGTGAATCATGAGAGAATAGGACCTTCAACGAGAGTCTCAATCCAAGTAGCATTAAGATAGGTATCAAGTTGCTGAAGCCAATCTAGAGCCAATCTTTTACACAGAGGTAGTATTCACGGTAGGGCTTGGAACCCATGAAGGCCAGCACTCTACAACACTACAAGGTCTTAATCTCAATTTCATGGGTTCCTCAGATCACCCTACCCCCCCCCGCCCCGTTGTATTTCCCCTAAGTCTTATCTTTAAACACAATGCGATCAGTGCTTGCTTAGAGGGCTTTGGATATAGTAAGAAATTACTTATCTAAAACCTGCAGTAGAAATAAAACCATAGCAGCAGAATTGGAAAAGCCACACTTAAATAGCTAGAAATAATCTAGGTAAGAAACTGAATGAATTTCAATATTATTGATTCTACAGCTCTGATCTCTCCTTCCATTTACCCTCTCTAACCAATCCCTGCTGTGTTTTCTTGTTGTTGTTGTTTTCAACCTTCCAGCTTTACTCAGTAAGGATGCCCATTATCTGCCACTCATCCCAACTCTCCCTCTTCCTTGATTCCACTTGGCCCAGTCCCTCTCCATCATCTCCTACCCATATGGCAGATGTGTTCTTGTCTCTTCTTGATTCCCTCCTCAACTCCCTTTCCTGTCTTTTCAGAGGAACATAAGATCATCCAGGCGGAGTTCTATCTGCTTCCTGACCAAAGAGGAGAATTCATGTTTGACTTTGATGGTGATGAGATTTTTCATGTGGATATAGCAAAGAAAGAGACAGTTTGGAGGCTTAAAGAATTCGGACAGTTTGCCAGCTTTGAAGCTCAGGGTGCCTTGGACAACATAGCTGTGGACAAAGCCAACCTGGACATCCTGATGAAGCGCTCCAACTACACTCCAGATGCCAATGGTACTGCCTCTCAACTGCACTCCCAGATGTGGGAATCCATAGCTTTAAAATAGATACTTCAGCAATGTCTGCCATATTATCATGACTCTCGCTCTGAGGCCTATCTATGCCTCAGAAAACCCTATATTCTCATGGTACAAGCCCAAGAATTTTCTAATAGTTATCCTTCCTTAATATCTCTGCCATACATGAGCACTCACTGCTCTGAGTCTATAGGGTATGTATGTGTGGTGGTGGGGGTGGTGGGGAGATGGATTAAAAATTAGGTTCTTGGATATTTTATATACTTCAAGCTTGGCTCTAGCAGATCAGAGATAGGCATTGGCGAATGGGGCATACACTTCTCAGGGCCTAATTCCAACTGCTGCTTCAGATATGTTTGTACCGCAAGTCAGTGTAGAAGGTCGAGACTGAGAAGCAAGCCTAAAGATAGGATGCTAATGCCTGTCATGTGTCCTCCAGTGCCTCCAGAGGTGACCGTGCTGTCCAGCAGCCCCGCAGAAGCAGGGGAGCCCAACGTCCTCATCTGTTTCGTCGACAAGTTCTCTCCTCCAGCAGTCAACGTCACCTGGCTGAAAAACAGCAAACCGGTTACCACGGGGGTATCAGAGACAGTCTTCCTGCCCAGGAATGACAACCTTTTCCGCAAATTCTACTACTTACCCTTCCTGCCCTCCATGGAAGACTTTTATGACTGCAAGGTGGAGCACTGGGGGCTGGATAAACCTCTTCTCAAGCACTGGGGTATGCAAACACCCTTCAATTCTCTGCCTATTCTAAGGTTTTCCTCCCTTGATGCTTGTGACTGGGCCCTCAGAATTTAATGTTTCATAAGCTCTGCTGTAATTTCACACTCCTCCCTGCTTAGATCTACAATTGCCTCGACACCGAATTCTATTTTTCTCTTCTTTCATTTATTGATCACTAGTGTTCAAATGGGCCCTCCCTCCTTTTACTACTACCTACTCTTTTCTTTCCCTCCAGAGTTGGACCAGCCAGCTCCCCTCTCAGAAACCACAGAGAATGTCGTGTGTGCCCTGGGCCTGATTGTGGGTCTGGTGGGCATCGTTGTTGGAACCATTTTTATCATCAAGGGTGTACACAAAGGCAATAAACAACGCCGAGGACCTCTGTGAGACCTATGGAGGTAGGTTTGGTATGGCCAGAAGAAGACAGTATGGCGGTGTCTGAGGGAGGGAAACACATAGGGAAGTGGACATGTGACACTACACAGGGAAAGAAAAATTGGACTTCTTGATTTCTTTTTGCTAGAAAGAAATCAGGCAATGGTATCATCTGGTTTCCCATAGCCTTGGGCTCTGTCATCACTTCCCATAGATGTAATTCCAAACCAACCTTCAGTCTCAAGACCAGTGGATGTTAGAATACTGCATCCTGATTATTTAGGCAGGGAACCTCAAGGTTTAGGCACTTATTGAATTGTATTTTCTAAGGCAATCCTTCAAAGCATTTCCAGAGCCTGGCATCTTTAGAGTTAGGGTGAGTTCCTGGCATGAAATGGAAATCCCTTAACAGTCAAGGGCTATTTCTGATCTTAGAAGTTTTTTTATTTTTGTTTTTGGTAGGCTATAGGTCTTGAATTCTGGGCCTGGGCACTGTCCCTCAGCTCTTCAGCTCAAGGCTAGCACTCTACCACTTGAACTACAGCACCACTTCCAGTTTTCTGGTGGTTTATTGGAGATAAGAGTCTTTCGGATTTTCCTGCCTGAACTGGCTTTGAACCACAATTCTCAGATCTCAGCCTCCTGAGTATCTAGAATTACAGGCATGAGCCACCAGTGCCCGGCCTTAGAAGATCTTTTAAAAGAAAAGCTTAAGGCAGGCACTGGTGGCTTATGTCTATAACCCTAGCTATTTAGGAGGTTGAGATCTTGAAGATCAAGGTTTGAAGAAAGCTGGGGCAGCTGAGAAACTTCAATCTTCAATTAACAAGGAAAAAATGCTGAAAGTGGAGGTGTGGCTCATGTGATAGAACACCAGCCTTGAGGGTAAAAGCTAAGGAAGAGCATAAGATCCTGAGTTCAAACTAGTATTGGCACAAAAGAGAGAGAAGGAGAAAAGGAGGGAGGGAAGGAAAACAAGAGAGAGAGGGGAGACAGGGAAAGAGAGAGAGATAAAGGTCATACAAACTTGAAAAGTTGGGTTTACAATTCAAGATGGTAATGTTACAGTTGACATTTCCAAAGTCAAATGATTAGGAGGATTGGGGAATATCTGAAAGAAAGAGCTCAGAATATTCATCTTAAGCTTCTTAGTAACTAACTATATGTGTCTCATTACAGGTAAAACCTACCTTAGAGGTTCAGTGAAGAAATTTCTGCTTTCAAAGCTTTCCGAAGCTGATAAATGTCCAGCTGTTCGCATCACTGAAAATAGGTATCTTCAGCATTTTCTAAGCCCTAAACATCAAGAGTAGAGATGTCTTCCCCACTCTCATCCTAGCCTAACAGAGAACTGGGTGCTTGTCCACCATGGCTTCCCTTGTCTGCTCTCCCTCTATCTCCTTTCATTTTATCATTGCCATGTAATTCCTCTCTGATAAATTCCATAATGTCTGTCTCCAATATGGGACATGCTGAGCATTACATGGAGAAAACTTGCATGCATTTCTCTGAATTATGATTTGTCTACCTGCAATAAACTTTTTTTTGTGGTGTTTTTTTCATGTCTGATTCAGTTCTTAGTGGGATTGGGGTGGGGAAGGGTGGTAGGGTTCTGAAAAACATACATGGTCAGTTGGGTACCAGTGGCTCATGCCTGTAATCCTAGCTATTCCGGAGGCTGAGATATGAGGATCGTGGTTTGAAGCCAGCCTAGCCAGAGAAGTCCTCATGAGACTTTTATCTCCAATTAGTCACTTAAAAACTGGAAGTGGAGCTATGGCTCAAAGTGGTAGGTACTAGTCTGAGCAAAAGAGTTTAGGGGCAGTGCCCAGGCCCTGAGTTCAAGCCCTACAACCAACCAAAATATCCCATATATATATAATATGTGTAATATATATATATATATATATATATTCCTTCCATCCTGAAATATCTGGCTGCTGAATGTATCTAAAAGATGTGAAATTAACCAGAAATACCCAGGTTTATTAGGGTTTATTCTCATTTCAAGCATCTTGAGAATATTGAGGATGCAATTTAGGCACATTTGTATAACTTTTATTCTAAAATAAGCAAGGCATGCAATTGAGAACACAGTAAAACATATAGAAGTATAGAAAAAAAATCTGTCTAAATTTATGTTCTTCCATGTAAGAAAGATTGTTTGATGAACTTTACTTTTCCCCCCTATTTACTTCTTAATTGTTTTTATAAAGGTGATGAATAGAGGGGTTACAGTTACATAAGTCAGGTGAGTACATTTCCTAGACTTTGCTTTTTAGAGCCATTTTAAGTTGACACAAAACTTGTGGAGAAAATATAAGGAGCTGTGATTAGCCCCTTCTGCAACTGTACCCTCCCCTCGGGTTGCTCCTGTTATTTAAATCTTGTGTTAGTATTCTACATTTGTTACAACAGATTAACTAATAATGCTATTTATTATGAACCAAAATCCATAGTTACATTAGGGTTCACTACGTATTATACAGTTCTGATAAGTATATGAAGTCATATATCTGTTATTATAGTGTCACACAGGTCATTTTATTGACCTGAAATATTGTTGTGTTGTGAAATAATCCTCCTTTCTCCCCTCCTATTTCTTGTCCTTAAAACTCTATAGATAATCCCAGCTTCTCAGGAGGCTGAGATCTGAGGATCACAGTTCAGAGTCAGCCTGGGCAGAAAAGTCTGTGTGAGATTCTTTTTTTTTTTTTGGGTCCGGTGGTGGGGCCTGAGCTGTGGGCCTGGGCGCTGTCCCTCAGCTCTTCATCTCAAGGCTAGCACTCTACCACTTGAGCCACAGCACCACTTCCAGCTTTTTTTTTGCTTATGTGGTGCTGAGGAATCGAACCCAGGGCCTCATGCTTGCAAGGCAAGTGCTCTACCACTGAGCCACCTTCCCAGCTCCCGTCTGTGAGATTCTTATTTCCCGATTAACCACCAAAAAGCTGGCAGTGGAGTTGTAGCACAAGTGGTAGAGAGCTAGCCTTGAGCAAAAAAGCTCAGAGACAGTGCCCAGGCCCCGAGTTCAAGCCCCAAGAGTTTCCCCCCCCCCAACACACACACACACACACACACACACACACACACGCACACACACACGCACACACACAAAAACCCAACTGTGTGAAGCAGATAATTTTCCACTCTTTGTTTATTTGAGCAAAACATAATGGAGAAAAGTGGCAAAGGGGTTTTCAGATGCCTGGGAGGCAGGGAGGGATGAAACAAAGCATCTGTGAGAGGATGGGGGGAAGGTACTGGGGCATGGGGTTAGCCACGGGGGTGGACAAGGCCCTCAGCAAGGACATGACCTGTCAGGTCATGGAGCAGGAGAGAACCGGGTCCTAGACACATTCTCTGTTTGGATGAATGAGACGCATTGTCCTCACTTGGAGCGGTGGGGACAGAGGTCCCTCCTTCGGTGCGGTCACCTCCACTTCAGCTCAGACATTCTGCAGGAGACACAGGGCAGCGGTGTTTCAGGACTAACCCTGCAAACTACTTCCTTTCCCATCTCAGGGCCCCCAGCATTGCAGAAAGAAGAGAAACACATAGAAACTTCCCCCAAGGCCATGGCTCTTCAGAGCCCAGGCCTTTTATTAGTGGTGAGTAGAAGTTTTAGACAAATTGTCCCATCAGAAATTTGGATCCAAAATCCTCCCCATTATTATTATTTTTTGTCATTGTTCCCATCTGATTCAAGGGAAGAAAATCTGTGTCTGAGAGGAGATGAAGGGATGTTACCTATTGGCTGATGTCCAGAGCGTCCTGAGAAAGGAAAAGAGAGACAGGAGCTTACAAACATGGAGGTGAGCGGTCCCCAAATTCAAGTCCTCAAGCTCCCTTCTGGCACCTGAACCTCCCTTCGCATACTGTCCACCCAGGTGAGGCAGAAAGCAGAGCACAGACAGAGACCAGCTGACCCAGGAAGCCAGTGATAAATGTCTCTTTCTTCCTTCATTTGTTGCTGGTTCTCAGGTTGATATTTCTAGGCTGCTTAACCTTTCAATATAGTTAACCAGAAACGATTTATAAATTTCCAGGACATTTGAGATCACTTAAAGAAAGGCTTCATTGATATCTTGAGAACTAATCTCATCAAAGACATGTGTGTGTATGTGTGTGTGTATATACATACACATATACACATGTTTCCTATATACATATACATATATATACACATGCACACAAATATATATACACACATACATACTTGAACCTTGAACTCAGGGTCTGGGCACTGTCCCCCCCTTTTTTTCTCAAGGCTGGTGTTCTACTACTTGCGCCACAACTCCATATCTGGCTTTTTTGGTGGTTAATTGGAGTTAAGAGTCTCATAGATTTTCTTGCCTGAGCTGCTTTGAACTGCGATCCTCCGCCTCCTGAGTAGCTAGGATTACAGGTGTGAGCCACTAGTACTCAGCAAAGACATCTTTCTTACCATTGTGATTCCTGAGATGGATGAACAGCCCCACCCCAAGGAAGAGCAGACCCAGCACAAAGACTGCGACTCCGCTCAGCATCTTCCTCTGTGTAGATCCAGATCTGGCCCCTGGGAGAAGAAGCTAGGCTTAGTGATTTTTCACTCCAAATCCAACTTCCCCTTGTTAAGACCCTGGGAATCAGAGCTTGAGAACTACCAGAAGAAGCCTGCATTGGAAGAAGCCTGCCTGAGAAGACTTTTTTTAACATTTAATTTAATTTTATTGTAAAGGTGATGTACAGAGGGGTTACAGTTACATAAGTAAGGTCATGAGTACATTTCTCGTTGAACGTTGTTACCTCCTTCCTCGTTTTTCTCCCACTTTCCTCCCCCCCCAGCTCCCCTTCCCACCAAACTGTAAAGTTCATTTCCAACATAGTGTCTTGTGAATATCATTGTAGAAGAAACATTTTAAAATCACACTGAGTCGCTGTAAAATTCAAGCTGTGAACTTAACTATGGCTGTCTTGAAACACCACCAGATAAACAAACAGTTTGAGACCCAGTGGGGCTGAAGAATTTATCATGGATGAAAAACAAAGCTGAGATTAGCTCTTTTGGATGTCAGGAGGAACACTGCATCGCTCCTCTTCACAAGTCACGATAAACCCAAACAGGCAGTAATGAAAACTGTCAACCTAGCTGCATAGGAGGCTAAGGACTAGGGATTACAGTTCAAAGCCAGCCTAGACAGGAAAGTCCATGAGGCTCATATCTCTAATTAACCACACACACACACACACACACACACACACATATACACACACAAGCTAGAATGGAGCTGTGACTTAAGTGACAGAGTGCTATAGCACCCAGGTCCTGAGTGTAAGCCTCATTAATGGCACCAAAAACAAACAAAAGTCCAATCTATCCCACTATTGGTAGGTCAGTTTCACACTGTGCCCAGTAAACCCTGTCAGTAGCTACACCTGTAGTATTTCATTGTTACTTGTAGAAACTGCGGTGCTAAGGGGGTTGTCTTGTTCTAGTTCCCTTCCAGAACTGTGACCAAAACCCTATAGGTTCCTTTTGCTCTTATTCTTGCCAGAAAACCCAAATCATACCATCTGCTGCACTGGTGACCTTTATCTGACTGCATTGGCAGGCTTGGTCTACCAAAAAAAAAAATCTTTGCTTTTTCAACTACTTCTTGCTTGCAAACATCTGACAGGTAGGAAGGTAACCAAGTCTTGCAACCAGTTGGCAAACAGATATTTCATGGCTCAGGGTTCCAGAGCCTCAAAGGCCAAGATCACAGTGTGGACAGAACCAGTTCCATTTGAGAATGGTGAGGGAGCATCTTCTCTGGAAGGGACTCTCTCCCAGCTTCTAGTAGCCTGGGGGTGCCCCTTGATTTATGGGTGGCATTCTCCCTGGGTCTTTGTATTGTCTTTCCTCACTGTGTATTTCTCAGTGTCCAAATTTCTGTCTCTATAAAATCTCCAGTCATTTTAGATTAGGGCCCAGCATAAGGATCTTATTAACTTGATTATCTCTTGTGAATACACTATTTCCAAACCAGGTTGCATTCTGGGGTACTGAGAGTTAGGACAGCCAAATACAATTTTGGAGTCAGGAACTGTCACCCAGAAAACACCTAAGCCATCTTTTTTTTTTGTCAGTTATGGGGCTTGAACTCAGGGCCTAGGAGCTGTCCCTGAGCTTGTTTGCTCAAGGCTAGTGCTCTACCACTTGAGTCAAAGCTCTACTTCTAGTTTTCTGGTGGGTAATTGGAGATAAAAGCCTCATGGACTTTCCTGCCCAGGCTAGTTTTGGACTGCAATCCTCAAATCTTAGCCCCCTGAGTAGCTAGGATTACAGGTGTGAGCCACTAGCACCCAGAGTTCTCTATCCCTTTAATCTCAGCCTTTCCCTCACTCCCCATTTCCCATGAATTCCAATTCTTTGTGTCCACTTCTGATCACAAGAAAATGGCTTGATTCTGTTTTCTCTACTTCTACTTGCATCCTTTCTCACTTCCATTTCTTCTTGACACTCAAAGCAGCAAGCTAGGTTTTCAAGACTTGGTCTCAGTTTTCCACTTGTCAGCCAGGTTACAGGCTAAGTGAGAGA